ATTTTTATTAGAGACAGGGTTTCACCATGTTTGGCCAGGCTGGTCTCGAATTCCTGGCCTCATGTGATTCACCTGCCTTAGCGTCCCAAAGTGCTGGGATCACAAGCGTGAGCCACCACGCCCAGCCACACGTGAGCTATTGATAAAGGTGACAATAAGAAAAAATACAAATAGTGAAGAGAGGGCAAGAAGTGCATGTACATAGAATAAAGTGAATTAGAATGTAGCAGGTCACCTAGAATCTTCATGACTGTAATAGCTTAAGAGTGCTCTTTGAAAAACTTACCTAAACCTATTAGATCCATTTAGCTTCACTAGTGGTTGGGGCGGGGAGAGTGTGCATGAGAGATGCTAAAGAAGAAGACAGAAGACAGTGAAAGAAACTGCTGCCCAAAGGCCACAGCAGCAGCTGGGAGAGCACAGCAGATATCTAGCCCTCCCAGAAAGAAGGGCTGGCGGAGAGTCTCCTTCCTCCAGGAAGCTGCTTCCTCCACCCCAGAGGAGGAGAGAGCTTCTCAGAGTCTTCCCTGGGGTCAGACGTGGGTGGAATTAAAGAAGCGGGAGGGAAATAAAACAGCAAAGAGATCTCAGGAGTCCTCTTTCTGTAAGGAAAGTAAAATCCACAATAAACTCAGGAAACCCCTTTAAAGAGAGCAGAAGAGAATAGCAAGCCTTTGCATTAGGCGCAGCTCTTTGTTTACACTGAAAATAGAAACAGGCAAACTAAATTGCCTGCAGGTTGCCTTTCTCCTTCCTTATTCTTTCTTCCTTCATGCAGTGCTTAACTATGCAAACATCCGGATCCTAAAAGGACATTAAATATTGGTTGATGGAGTCTTGAAATCCAGGAGCAACCCAGAAATGTTTACAAAGTGTGTCTGAGAAACTCCTAATTTTAAAAGCAGTGTTTAAGTTTAGTATTCCTCAGATAAAGAAAGGTAACCAGAACCTGTAAACCTTTCTTACACTAAATAATAAAACATTACTTGGTCCTAAAAATGTAAGCAGTGATTTGGGGATGTTTTCTCATATGATTGGCGTTATAGACAATATTAGAGATAAATTTATTACTAGTTAAGGAAAAAAGTTTTTTTAGTATTACCTTTTCTCCAGTTACACAATTAAAAGGGGGTGTGTGTTAACAGAGCTAGTTCAGACAAGGAGCTTGCTCACTGCTTAAACTTTCTGTCCCCGTGGTATCTTTTCATTCACTGGGCTGTTAAATGCATCATGTACCTGGGGGCTTTTTAAAAATGAATGCTGCCTCCTCCATTTTGCGGAAAGCAATGAGAACGGAAGCACCGGAACACCTGCATTCTATCAATGAAGGGATTGAGAGGAGACTGAAGCGCGAGAGCTGGCAAATTTGAATTTGTACATTCAGCTATTGCCTGTGTGTCCTCTGTCTCCAAACCCATATTCATCTTCTGAAACGGGCAGCTGAAAACCCATCACTTTTGGCTGCTTTTTTTTGTTTTTGTTTTTGTATTTTTCTTTCCCAGTAGAGGTTCAATGTGAGGGAATTATGACTCTTCTGGTCATTGTGTGTGCATGTGAGCAGGGGGTATTATTTACTGTGGACTCAAATATAATTTTTTGCGTACCTGTTTCTCCTCAAACAGCTTCATTATTGTATGCTTGCTATACAATACCTGCTACTTGACAAGCAACCCCATGTACTTATTATCTTCAAAATCCAAGCAAATAGCAAAAGGCTCACCACAGAAAAAACAAATGGGTTGTTTTTTTGTTTGTTTTTGTTTGTTTGTTTGTTTGTTTGTTTTTGAGATAGAGTCTCGCTCTGTTGCCAGACTGGAATACAGTGGCATGATTTCGGCTCACTGCAACCTCTGCCTATCGGATTTAAGCGATTCTCCTGCCTCAGCCTCCCCAGTAGCTGCGACTATAGGCGGGTGCCATCACACCCAGCTAATTTTCCAATTTTCCTATTTTTAGTAGAGACAGGGTTTCACCATGTTGACCAGGATGGTGTCGATCTCTTGACCTTGTGATCCACCCTCCTCGGCCTCCCAAAGTGCTGATATTGCAGGCGTGAGCCACTGCACCTGGCCATGGATTGCTTTTTTTTTTTTTTTTTTTAATGAACCATTGAATGAATGCGTGAATACCATTTTTTGTCTCTAATTGAACCTGCTTGTAAGCCCTACATAGTGCCAATAGATCCTACAAATTCGCATTCCATATTGGCAACTCCATCTGCTATTGTTTGATTTGGGAGCTGATCTATTTACGCGATGAAAATATACTGAAATACAAACAGAAATATCTTACTTCTGTATGTTTTGGGTTGTAACCATTCACCACGTATTACAACAGTCTTCTCTTCTCGACTCCTCCAGGACAGAACATTATTCCATTCTGTGAGCAACAGCTGCATGGATTGCAACCCTGCAGAGAAGAAGATTTTCATGGCCAGATGTGACCCTCTCTCTGAGACTCAGCAGTGGATTTTTGAACACATTAATATGACTGTTTTAGAAAAATTTAACCACCATGCCAGCTCCTAGAAAGAAAGAAGGAAGAAAGAGTGATTACCTACAGATTATAAATGAAATTTTAGCCAGCATCTGGGTCAAAGGAGTCAGGAATAACATTTCCTCGATCCAGGAAGGCTGGTTTAAAAATCTGTAAATGCCATGTTAAAGTAGGTTGTTTTGAAGAACTTCCTGCATCTGAAGAACTTGGCTGAGAATCTCACCAGCTGCTTCTGAGAGCTCGAGACTAGCAGTTCCCTTGCTGGCCAAGGGCAAAGATTATTTAGGGACTTTTCAAAACAACTGCTGAGCTAATAAATCCTAGCATTTCTCAGGTCAAATCCTGCAGTAGTGAGTAGCTATGAATGGATCCTATTAAATGGGTGGGAGGGGGGTGAAAATGGAGTGCATGACTGCTCTGACAACCTGAGGGTATCACAGGTTTAGAACTAGCCACGCTTAAGGGGTGAGCTGTACTCTTTGGTGCCATTCTCTGACTAAGAATGGGTTAAGCAGGTTTAACCCTTAAAAGTGCTGCAGATGATTTCAGAGTGCTCATACTATTCTGGTTTCTTTTGCTTTATTTTTAATTGAGGGTGCAATATCTAATGTAAGACTCAAATTACATAATGAAATGGACATCCAGTGATCACATTCTTTCATTTATATTTGCTGTTTTCCTTTCAGAGCAAAGGTTTCTTATTGTTCGTGAAAGTTCATGCTCCATGAATCCACTGAATTTCTAATTCAATGCCCTTCTATGAATCCAGTTAAAAACAACAAAAAAACTACTCTATCAAGTTACTCCAAAGAAAGATTTCACAGAAGCAGCAAAACCATATAAGATTTAGGAGAGGGACTTCCCTGGGAAATCTATTTTTACTTTTCTATTATTTTTAAAATCTTAAAAGTCTGATATTTGTCCGGTCATAATTTTTATTAAGCAAGGAAATGGAGTGAGGTTGATGTAATTTGTTTAGGAGATTCCTCAAGCCAAATAAATCTACACTCCAAGTGATGTGTGAAAACGGCTTGGTTCACTTTAATTCTGTTTAGAAAGTGGTGGGAGCTTAGAAGTGGTTTTGTTTGTTCGTTTATTTATTTGGGTTTTTAAAATTGTTCTTTTGTAGTGTTGATATGAATGATATTCTTTTCTTTGGAAGCTCATAAAAGGGATTACCGTTAATAAAGTGTTTCTGACACCATTTTCTGTTAATGGGACAATATTTTGGGGATGAAGAAAGACATGCTCTGAAAACTAAAGGGAACATTTAATCCTTAAAACAATTTTTTACTGTTCAATAATGTCAGGTTGGGGGAAGAATATACAAGTACTAAGGTGGTCCTCAGGAAGAAAGAATCATTTTTATTATACGTCTCTCAAGTTTTTTTGGTATAACAATGTTTTGACTTTGCTTTTTTGTTTTAAGCTGGTATTCCTGTTAATAAAAATTTATATAACATCTTGGATCTAGAGCATTAAATTTTAGAACTGGGAAGACTCCTAGGATCCAATCCCTTTTTTTCTTCAGATGAATAACAAAAGCCCAGAAAGGCCCAGTTCCTGGCAGGGCTGTCTTCTGACGCCTGTTCCTGTGTTTTTACTCTTGTGCTATGTTGCCTTACTCTGTTACCCAAGCTGGTTCTGGATATTACTGTGATTTAACTTGAGATTTTCGGTCACTAGATGAGAGTACTAGGCCTCCCTAGGGATGACCGCTAAAATAATATTCACATTTAGAAACTTTCATACAGGCCATGAAGCCTCTTCTTGTACATATTCATGATTTTGTAATCTCCTTGAAACCTAATCAAAATGTCTAAACTACCAGGCTAATAGCTGGGGAAGAGTTATTTCATTATCTTTACTGATTTTTCAAGCATTCTTTTGAAGAGCTATTTTTTTTTCTTTTTTTTTTTTTATTATACTTTAAATTTTGGGATACGTGTGGAGAAAGTGCAGGTTTGTTACATAGGTATACACATGTCATGGTAGTTTGTTGCACCCATCAACCTGTCATCTACATTAGGTATTTCTCCTAATGCTAGCCCACCCCTAGCCTCCCAGTCCCTGGCAGAACCTGGTGTGTGATGTTCCCCTCCCTGTGTCCATGTGTTCTCATTTTTCAGCTCCCACTTATAGTGAGAACATGTAGTGTTTGGTTTTCAGCTCCTCTGTCAGTTTGCTGAGAATGATGGTTTCCAGCTTCACTCATGTCCCTGCAAAAGACATGAACTGATCCTTTTTTATGGCTGCATAGTATTCCATGGTGTATATATGCCACATTTTCTTTATCCAGTCTATCACTGATGGATATTTGGGTTGGTTCCAAGTCTTTGCTATTGTGAACATTGCTGCAATAAACACACATGTGCATGTGTCTTTATAGTAAAAACGATTTATAATCCTTTGGGTTATACCCAGTATATGGTTATACCCAGTATATACCCAGTAATGGGATTGCTGGGTCAAATGGTATTTCTGGTTCTAGATGCTTGAGGAATCACCAGCTGTCTTCCACAATGGTAGAACTAATTTACACTCCCACCAACGGTGTAAAAGTGTTCCTATTTCTTCACATCCTCTCCAATATCTGTTGTTTCCTAACTTTTTAATGATTGCCATCCTAACTGGTATGAGATGGTATCTAATTGTGCTTTTGATTTGCATTTCTCTAATGACCAGTGATGATGAGCTTTTTTTCATATGTTTGTTGGATGTATAAATGTCTTCTTTTGAGAAGTATCTGCTCATATCCTTCTCCCACTTTTTGATGGGGTTGTTTTTTTTTCTTGCAAATTGTTTAAGATCTTTGTAGATTCCGGATATTAGCCCTTTGTCAGATGGATAGATAGCAAACATTTTCTCCCATTCTGTAGGTTGCCTGTTCACTCTGATGATAGTTTCTTTTGCTGTGCAGAAGCTCTTTAGTTTAATTAAATCCCATTTGTCAATTTTGGCTTTGTTGCCATTGCTTTCATTGTTTTAGTCATGAAGTCTTTGCCCATGCTTATGTCCTAAATGGTATTGTCTAGGTTTTCTTCTGGGTTTTTTATGATTTTAGGTCTCACATTTAAGTCTTTCATCCATCTTGAGTTAGTTTTTATATAAGGTATAAGGTAGGAGTCTAGTTTCAGTTTTCTGCATATGGCTAGCCAGTTTTCCCAACACTATGTATTAAACAGGAAATCCTTTGCCCATTGCTTGTCTTTGTAAGGTTTGTCAAAGATCAAAAGGTTGTAGATGTCTAGCATTATTTCTGAGGCCTCTGTTCTGTCCTCTTGTCTGTTTTGGTACCAGTACCATGCTGTTTTGGTTACTGTATCCTTGCAGTATAGTTTGAAGTCAGGTAGCATGATGCCCCCAGCTTTGTTCTTTTTGCTTTGGATTCTCTTGGCTATATGAGCTCTTTTTTGGTTCCATATGAAATTTAAAGTAGTTGTTTCTAATTCTGTGAAGAAAATCAATGGTAGCTTGATGGGAATATCATTGAATCGATAAATTACTTTGGGCAGTATGGCCATTTTCATGATACTGATTCTTCCTATTCATAAGCATGGAATGTTTTTCCATTTGCTTGTGTCTTCTCTTATTTCCTTGAGCAGTAGTTTGTAGTTCTCCTTGAAAAGGTTTTTCACATCCCTTGTTAGTTGTATTCCTAAGTATTTTATTCTCTTTATAGCAATTGTGAATGGGAGTTCGCTCTTGATTTGGCTCTCTGTTTGCCTGTTATTGGTGTATAGGAATGCTTGTGATTTTTGCACATTGATTTTGTATCCTGAGACTTTGCTGAAGGTGCTTATTGGCTTAAGGAGATTTTGGGCTGAGATGATGGGGTTTACTAAATATACAGTCATGTCATCTGCAAACAGAGACAATCTGACTACCTCTCTTCCTATTTGAATACTCCTTATTTCTTTCTCTTGCCTGATTGCCCTAGCCAGAACTTCCAATACTATGTTGAATAGGAGTGGTGAGAGAAGGATCCTTGTCTTGTGCCAGTTTTCAAAGGGAATGCTTCCAGTTTTTGCCCATTCAGTATTATATTGGCTGTGGGTTTGTCATAAATTTGAAGAGCTATTTTTTTAACCTTCTGCCACAGAGATATTTTGTATAGGTCAAGAGATCTTGAAGCATTCAAGATGCATACTGGAGAAAATCAATAGTGAGAAATTAACCTATGTGTTGAACAATTCCAGAGAGTGAGTGAAGATTTATCTCAAGTGTTCAGAGAGCAATCTTGTTGTATAATTAGATGAGCCTATAAAAGTTCACATTATGTCATTAAACAGCTGATTGCTATTTACAATTTTACCAAAGAGACAACTCTGGGTTCTGCACTCTGCAAACCTTAGATTTGCAATAATCTTGTAGGATGTTATAATCATGGAAAGCTAGCCATAACGTGTTTGGCTCTGTCCTTTGAGAAAGCCTGAATATATTGCTTTATTTTGGTGTGACACACAGAGGTCAACCAAGATTGGTCTCTTGATCTCTGAATTTAAAAAATGTAATATTTTGGAGCCTATTTGAGGGTGGAGGGTGAAAAGAGGGAGAGGATCTGGAAAAATAATTTACAGGTACTGGGCTTAATACCTGGGTGATGAAATAATCTGTACAACAAATCCCCATGACACAAGTTTACTTATATAACAGACCTGCATATGTACCTCTGAGCTTAGACATTTTTAAAAATTAAATTAAATTTTTAAAATATAATATAAAAATTTGTTATTAAATATAAATTAAGGAACACTTGAGACATTAAGGCCAAAATTAAAACTCCAAACTGCCAAGCAACTGTTAAATGTGTGCAAATAGGACACAGATAGAACGAAATGAAGCCTAGAGAACCTGCCCCAAGCCAAAGGGCACAACATTGACAACAAGCATATCTAAGGAGGCATTTCCACTCCACTAAAGGTTGAGACTCTATTTACCTGAAATACCACTACTACCATTCTGAAAAGTAGAAAACTACATATGTTGGTATGTTTGTTTAACAAAGGGAACTGAACAATCCTCAGAAAGATTCTCTTTCATGCAAATAACATGATTTGAAAATTGGACAGTAGAGTACTGACCTACCCTTTTATCATAACAGGAGGAAAAATCATAATCTGGCCTTGGAAATTGCTACTTCTCCATAATACAACATGGTTTTGCCAGAATAATTAATTTTTAAAATCTTCTTTATGTATTTACAAAGAAAAAGCTGTGTTTTAAACAATCATGAAGTAAATGTGGGACTTATGCTTTTTCCAAGGCTGGATTAGTATCTTGGCAATAGCAATGTATTGGCTTCTATGTCTACTAGCATTTACTTAAAAATATTAATATGATCACATAACTATTTTTAAAAGCATTCACTGTATCAGAAGACTCAGTGAATAATGCAAGTTCCAGAATTGCTTTATGAATTGATAACCTAAAACTTTATGCAATAAATGAATAACAGAAAATGAAAATGGATTTACAATCAATGAAAGAGTGTGTTCGGCCCATTCTTCTCAGGTTTCTTGGAAAACATGAAACCCATGCAAACACTTGATATCATTTCGTTAGGAGCAAAGTTTTAAAGGAAGTTAGTCAAATATAAATAAGTAAATCCCTATTAATATTTTGCGCTTATTCTTCTCATAAGGAAAACTTTTATTTCAATCTTTTTATAACTGTCTCCATAAGGAATTAGCAAAGCAGAATGCTTTCTTGGAAAAATAAGCACTATGAGATTTATGGCTGATTCATCAAAAAAGTCAGTGGCCCAGGTGCCGTGGCTCATACTATAATCCCAGCATTATGGGAAGCCAAGGCAGGAGAATCACTTGAGCCCCAGGAGTTCAAGACCAGCCTGGGCAACATAGGGAGAACTCATCTCTACAAAAAAATTTTAAAAAGTTAACCGGCTGTCATAGCATATGCCTGTAAATCCCAGCTACTGGGGAGGCTGAGGCAGGAGGATCACTTGAGCCCAGTAGGTTGAGGCTGCAGTGAGCCATGATCGTGCCACTGCACTCCAGCCTAGGTGACAGGATGAGATCCTGTCTTAAAAAAAAAGAAATTCAATGACACTTTGATTACGAAGCCAACAATTCAGCAGTCATGGAGGGTCCCACCTGCCACTGTGGGACATTCCCGGACCAGGATATCACACACCTAAGGACTCTGGAGAAAGCTGATGACTCCAGAGAAAGTTGACTCTCCCCTGAGGGTGAGTGCTAGGTTATATTTTTTCAGGATTTAGAATCATCCTAACAATATGACATTGTGAACATTGATTTATTCCTAAAAACTCATTTAGTAAAATGTCTTTAGGCTTGTTGCCCTGGCAGGATTATAAGGCTGCAATGTGCTTCCATAAACACATGCTTAGAGACAGGCTGGAAATAAGGCATTTCTTATAAATCATGAGAAAGCACGCCTCAAAGGGAAAATATTGTTACGTGATTCCCTATGGTTCTG